TTCCTATATTTCAGCTTGCGAAACTCTTCAATGTCCCTCGTTCCACTTTGAGCAATAGAGTCAAAGGAATGCCATCACGACGCGACAGCATGCCCAATACTTTGAAACTTATGGTTTCTGAAGAGAATGCCATTTGTTCCTTCATTCTTGACCTGGATGCGCGAGCATTTCCGCCCCGGTACAGTTATGTTGAAGATATAGCGAATCAATTATTGGCGACGCGTAGGGCTGGATGCGTTAGAAAGAACTGGACGCGGAACTTCATCAAACGTACACCAGGCCTCCGGATGCGTTTTCATCGGAAGATAGACTACCAGAGGGTCTTGAACGAGGATCCAGACGCGTATTGCGCGTGGTTTTGCCAAGTTGCAGCAGCAGTTGCGAAACATGGTATCCAAGACGCGGATACTTACAACTTCGACGAGACTGGGTTTATGATGGGCATTATTGGGTCCGACATGGTCGTTACAAGCGCCGAAAGACGTGACAGGCCTAGACAAGCTCAGCAAGGCAACAGGGAATGGTCTACAGCAATCTCTGCTGTTAATGCTGATGGTTGGGTGGTCCCGCCGTTCATCATTCTACAGGGCAAAACCCACCTCGCGTCATGGTATCGCGACACAATATTACCACGCAATTGGAAGGTGGCCGTGTCCGACAACGGGTGGACCACGAATGAGATTGGTTTGGAATGGATTCAGCATTTCGACAAGTATACCAGACCGCGTATGACTGCTGGTAAACGCCTCCTCATCCTAGATGGTCACAAAAGCCACCATTCCCAGGTCTTTGAGGATTATTGTCAGAACAATGGCATTATCACCCTTTGTATGCCTGCCCACTCGTCACACAGGCTCCAGCCTCTAGATGTCGGCTGTTTTAGCCCGCTCAAACGAGCTTATGGTCGCATGATTGAGGATCTCATCCGGCATCATATAACCCACGTTTCGAAGGAGGACTTCCTTGCAGCGTTTTGTGAAGCACACAACGCTGCTATGACGCCAGGAAACATTCGAGCAGGTTTTAGTGCCACTGGGCTTGTTCCTTTTGACCCAGAAAGTGTCATTTCAAAGCTGGATGCTGTCGCTGTCATACGAACACCGTCGCCAGACCCCAATCTGCCACCCACTACTTGGACTTCGAAGACGCCTATCACCATTAACGAAGCGGTAAATCAATCGGTTTATATCTGAAACCGAGTCAGAAACCACCAGGGAAGCTCACCTACATTAATAGTTGATGCATTGAGCTCGTTTTCAAAGGCTACATACGGTCTTATGTATAAGGTCGCTTTGGTTGATTCCCGGGTCCGCGAACTAGAAGAGGCCAATCACTTACTAAGTAAACGCCAGAGAACAAAAAACAAACGTCTAGTAAAAGGAGGAGTACTTTCCGTTGAAGATGCAGTAGATCTTCAGGCTGCAAAGTATGGTACTGAGCTGGCAAAACAGGAAATGGGTGAAAGTAGTCGTCGTCCGAGGCGGGCGACAGCGCGTGGGCGACGGTGTGGCGTTTGCGGCAATACTGGCCATAATGCGCGAACTTGTACAATAGAGATAGAAACCTCTAAGGAAGAGGAATCCGATTGATTGAATTGAACTAAATGCGTTGTGGTGAAGTTATTTGACATGGCAGTTGGAGAGTTCATGACGAGTGCCAACTCGCTTGTAATGTCAACTCGCTTGTCAGCTACGTTATGTATAAAAAGTTATCGTTAATTTCATTTAAAACATTAACTTATAAATATTATTGTTAAAATTTAAAGGCTTATTAATAAGGAAAGTTATGTTTATATCAAGTAAAAGCCCGAAGAATATACGAATTCTTTAATTATAATAATAATAGTTATAGTAGTAAAAAAAATTTTTACTTTTTCTTTTTCGATCTGCATTTTATCATTTGAAAGATTGCCGGAAGCGCTTTTTTATATAGGCTTTTAAATAAGCCCGATAAACTGTCTTTTTACGCGTTAAAATATACGCGCGTTTGATATATGAAAAGGTAAAAAGGTAATAGATACGCAAATATAAACCGGACGAAAACAAGTAATAAATGTTTAGAGTATAAAGTTAGGTCTTACAAAAACGAAGCTGAAATTGTTTATACGTTTTATATGAGTAAGAATATTCATAATATTGATAACATTAAAATTATTACAAGTAACTAAAAGGTTTAATAAAAGCGTTAATATAAGTATTAAACGTAATATTAAAAAGGATATTTTGAAAAGTAGGGGCAGATTCTATTAAATAAGTTAACGCTTAATAAGCTAACGTACGGATATCATTTTCAAAAAAGCGGTAAAACCAGATTGTTAAACTTGTTATCGCTTTTATTTTGCTTAAAAATCGCGTTATTATCGTTTTTTGGCTTTTTATTTTTACTATTTCAAGCGGCTTTTGAATGTATTCAAATAGCAATACGAAGCTCTTTTATATGATGATTGTGACGGCCTGCACGGACCTTCCCACGTGACAAGCCGATACCTCCCATTAAGGGAAGGATCTGACTAGAGGATCCCCTTAAAGGGACAACCTCCCGCTGTACCTATCTTTCTCTCTCTTCCTTTCCTCTCTAGTCTTGATATTCTCTTCAATATCAATAGAGTAGTAGCTGCTTGCTGCCGGCCATGTCTCAGCTCCCCAGTACGCTCTCCGTGACAATTATTTTATATTATTAATTAATAAAATAATCAGATAATAAACTATAACAAATATTCATTTGTTTATAAAAAGCGGTCGAATAATTAGGAAGTTATGCTTTATATCGAATTAAAACTAAATTTTTTAATAACAAAAACGGTAAAAGATTAAAAGATCGGCGTGTATCAGGACGTAAAAGTATTTAAAGGTATAGCTTTAATGACGATTATTACGCGTTTATACATATAATTATAATGTTTTATTTAACATTTTTAGCAATTATAAAATTTAAATTTTTAAAGTAAGACTTATTTTATTAAGCCTTTTTTAAAAGCAGTCGTAGTAAGAATTAATCGATTGTAAAATATCCCAATATTAATTTATTGGAATTAGCAGAAATAGTTGTACTTATTATACCAAAAGCGGGGACAATCGATATATAAACCTCAGGATGACCAAAGAATGAGAAAAGATGCTGGAATAAAATAGGGTCACCCCTCCAGCTGTTTCAAATAATGATGTATTAAAATTACGATCTGTTAATACCATTGTTATTCCACCGGCTAACCGTGGTAAAGATAATAATAATAATACAGCTGTAATAACTACAGCTCATCCAAATAAAGCTTCTTAACTATTTTAATTACGAATAATTGATAAAATATCATTATTATGTTTATTACAAACAGTAAATAAGTAATGCTTAAAGCTTATAAAGTTAGGCCAGAATTTAAAGCGCATGCGAGCTTTTTTTTAAACTAGTTTAACGGCGAGAGCCTTTAAAGACTAGTTCTTAAATCGAGCCAGGCTTTTAAGAAGCGGCGGTAAAGCTTTCTTATTAAAACGGTTAAAATAAGTAATAAAAGTTATATTAACAGCTTCTATAAAATCTTTAATAATTATGAGCTTATTGCAATTAAACAAAAAGGGTTTACGGAAATTAAACGAGAAACAATAGCTATCAAAAGCGGCTTATTAATCATTAAGAAAAATTAAGATTTTCGTTTTGTTAAGCGCTAAGTTTAATTATTATTTATCGCGTAAAGTCCTTTTTTAGATTATATCATGAAAATAATATGATAAAAGTCGGTTTAATAATTTTATTATTAAATAAGTTCTTATAATAGTTATTATTTTAATCGTTATTTAGTTTGATTACCGTTATTGTTGATGATAAATTTATAACGCTTATTAAAATATATTTTAAAACCTCAATTTAAAATACTAATCAATATTCAAATGTATGTACAAACAGCGCACGCGCGGTAAGATAATATAATAGTATAACGTTCAAAAGTATTACTTTAGGTAATTATTTTATTAACTGGTAATAAGCGTTTGTATATAGTAATGTGTGAAAGTTATTAAAATTATATATAAAAAAGATATATAAAGTAATAGGTTTTAATTATATTAAAATTGAAATTGAAAAGTTTATAAGTAGTAAATAAGCTTAAAGATGCTTACATATTAAAAAGGTATGTTATAAGGTAGTATTTATAAGAATTGTATTTTCGTGGCTAGGCATAGGGGTTCGTTTTTAGCTAGCTTTCTATATATAAAGGAGAGCTTCCCAGCTTTATTTCATAGATTTTAAAATGAACAACATTTCCTTCTATGTCTCTTCCAATTAGCTTTACGCGATAACTGTGGATGGTTATTACTACGCATCAGTAGGGAGTATCATTAATGTCTCTGGTGCTTCTGTATGCCTGTTTGTCTTGTTGGGGAAGATAGGGCCCGGCCGCGTCAAGTCATTTTGGCCACACACGTCAAGCAGCGGACATGTCACAGGGCAGACTGGCATGCATGCTCGACAAGACCAAGACGTTAGCATGGATGGGGACTCGGAGGCTGTCTTGGCTGGCCCCTTGGTGGACACCTCGCCATCGAACACAACCTGTAGTTGCGCGTGGAGCCGGATGCCATGCAACCAGACGGGCCTTTCTCAGATTTTGCAGCTGCAGCGCCAGGCTTGCCTAGCTTTCCTACTGTCAATAATCTGTCTTCTGTGGCTGTGGGAGCCGAGGGGGGCAACTCCAAATAGTGAAGACGGGAGTTTAGAGACAATAGACCGTCGAGGACCGGCACTGCGAACATGGTGCCCGAATCGAGTGAAACCCGTCGCCATAGAGCCTAAGTTAGCATGGAGAGCACACCCCGACAATGTAGAACGTGATAATGTGTGGGGTTAGGGATGTTGCTTTGAGAAGTGGGCGTAGTAAGGCGATGTCGACAGCTTAAGCTATTGTACTTGATCTTTCATAATGATGCGTTATTCTAATACTTCATTTAACTATGTTTATTTTAATCTTTTATATGTGGCTACATTTAGAAGCGGTGGAAACCGCAACATATTCAAGCCGCACCACCGCGACCACCTACTTGCCGCTGTGCCTGCACAATCTCAGCCGCAATAGGTGGCAGCTCGCGTCCTCGGCCCGTCGGCCACGGCATGAACTTGATCTCAACCAGGAAGCGCAGATACCTCCCTATGTCCTCGCGGGTGATGCCCTCGCCCGCGCTGTCGTCGATGCCAGTCCACCGGTCGGCGTCGGCCTTGAGCACCGCCACGGCATTTCTATCGTCCAGCTCAGGGGCACGCGTCGACAACGGCAGGTCCGACATCGCCATGTGGAACAACGGCATGAGTGCGCTCTGTTCCTGATCCTTCTCCGTGGACCCGGCCGACACAAACTTCTCGAGCTGCGTCTTCCACTCCTCGTAGTCGACCTCGGGCACGTTGTAGCCGTAGTAACCCAAAGCCGAGAGGAATTCGTTCATACGGAGTCGCGGATGCGCTGTGACGTGCACAACGTTGACGCCGGGGAGGGGGTTGAGGCCCGCGGCAACGACAACTCGGGCGACGTGGTCCACAGGGACGGCATTCACCGAGTTCACGATAAACGGCCTTGCCGCCAGTTGGACACAACCTTTCCAGAACCTGATCAGGAAATCATCGACGTTCGAAACGCCGCTGTGGCGGCTACCGAGAATGTATCCGGGACGCACAACAGCGCCCCGGAGCCCGCGCTTGCCGGCTTCCCGGATGAGCTGCTCCGATACCTGCAAACGGTCAGCATCATGGACCCTCTCTGTACAGCGGTCGACATACCCATTTGGTTTGACCATAACCCGTGGCAAGGCCAACACGACTGCCCTGCATATCGTCAGCCTCGAGCACAGCTCCGCGCCCGGTCGCAGTTTGCTCGTGAGAGAGGTTGACGTAGTGGTCAGTGTCCAGTGTCGAAGTCGACGAAACGAACGAGAATAGCTTGGGCTTCCCCTCGTTGCAGAGCTTCATTGCGTCGATAGTGGAGAGGACGTTGCTACGCATCATCTGCTCATATCGAGCAATCCAATGGACGTATGCCCCATTGTGGACGATAACATCCGCCGTCTCGGCTACGTGCTTCCAGCTGGCATCGTCGAGCCCGAGCCGGGGCTTCGACAGGTCACCGAGGACACAGACAATCCGGTCGGCCCAGGCGTCCTGCCACAAGCCATAGCCCTTGACTGACCTCGCGAGACGATCCTTGGCGAACTCAAGGTCCTTGGCTCCACGGGTGTGCGCGATGAGCTTGGTGTTTTCCCTGTCCAGGATATCCTTGACCAGGTAGGCGCCCAAGAAGCCCGTCGCACCGGTCAGGAAGAACGTGGCACCACTCGAGGGGGCTAGGGCATCCGGGTCCGCACCTTGGTACTTGGCGTCCAGCGAGCTGACAAGCTCGTCAAACGACCTGGCGTAGGCGGTTTCGGTGGCCTTGTCAACTGTGACAGCCTGGCCATTGCGCAGACAGTCAACTTGGGTACTCAGGCCTCTGAGGGTGGGACTGTCGTAAAGAACGCCAATGGTCACGTCAGCGCCGAAATTCTTGCGGACGTTGAGGAGAAGCTGCTGGGCCAGAAGACTGTGTCCACCGCAGTCGAAGAAGTTGGATTCGGGCCTAGGCTTAAGTCAGCTTTGTGCAGTAGAGCACTACGCGTGTTTACATACTTGACAGTCTTGGAGTTCAGGCTCGGAATCAGGGCCGACCACTGCGAGGCCATGGTCTTCTCCGTCTCAGACATGGCCTCCCAGCTCTTCAGATCCTCTTCTGAGGCGTCCTCCATCATCTCGGCAGCATCGGGGAAGGGCAAATTCGGGGTGTCGACCTTGCCGTTCGGGTTCAGAGGCAACTTTTGTAGCATGATGTAGACCGAGGGCACCGAGTAAGCCGGCAGGCGGCTGTTGAGGTGTTCTCGCACTTCGGCCTGCATGCGGCGGAACCTCTGAAGATAGACCACACTGGATCCCATCTCCACACCATCGTCTTGGACGTCCTCGTGATTATGGGCCGCCAGCCAGCGCTTCCACTCGGCCACCTCGGGAACGAGGTAGCTGACCAGCTTGGGCTCCTCGTTTCGATCTCTTCGAACGAGGGTCTTGCAGTCGCGGATCAGGGGGCTGCCGCTCAAGTTGGCATCGATTTCGTTGAGCTCGATCCGGAAACCACGGATCTTGACCTGAGAGTCGATGCGGCCAGACACACGCACGGCTCCCGACGGCAGATACTGGCCAAGGTCTCCTGTGCGGTATAATCTGTCGCGGGGCCCTTTGTAATAACGGCGCCACGGCTCACCCTTGTTGTTGGCCTTGTCGGCTTCGGCCCATTTGGCGTTATCGACGAACCAATTGTCGATGAACTTCTCCTTGTTCTTCTCGGGATCGCCGAGGTAACCTTCAGCCAAGCCAGCCGCTCTGATGTACAGTTCCCCAACCTCACCAACGCCGCACATCTTTGTGTGATCTTTTTGAGAAACGATGAGGACCTGTACATTCTCCATGCCCCAACCTGCAGGGACAGTGTCCTCGATTGAGTCGAGTGCCGTCGGATCCTCGGCGGCGGAGGGAATCTCGAAGTAAGATACTGCCCGACTGGTTTCGGTGGTGCCGTACATGTTTACTATGGAGCAAGAAGTTCCTAATTGGCGAAGTGCCTTGCAGTCGCGAGTGGTGAGCACGTCGCCGACGAAGAAGACGTGCCGTAGGGAGGGAAACTTGGCTGTGGCACCACCGACGAGGATCTGCCCCATGGCGGGAGTAAGGTGCGTTGTGGACGGTGACCAGAGATTCATCCACTCGCTCAGCCTCTCGTGCTGGATGTCTTCCCTGGCCGGGATGAGCAACTGGGCGCCGAGCCACAGCGGCGTCATGATGTCTGGCGTCTGGGGTTAGCCAGAGCGCTACAACCGTGGTGCAGGCCATCTCTTACCTCGCTGGATGGGGTCATGAGCGATGCCAGAGAGACAGGCGAACACACTCTCGAACGAGAGGTTAAAACGCTTCGCCATCCAGGGGAAGTACCTTGTCAGGCCATAGTGACGTCCCAGGACGCCTTTGGGTTTTCCTTCCGAGCCCGAGGTGAAACTGAGGGTTGGGTTGGAGTCCGGGCCGACAAGGACGTCGGGGGGTGAGGAGGCCTTGGCTCGTACGCTGGCAAAGATATCCCGGCCTTCCTTCTCACCGCCAGACAGCACGCCGCCGTCACTGAGGCGGAGGTCCGGGATCTGGGTCTTGATGGACAGCTCATCGTCGATGTACTTTTGTACCAACGGAGCAAGGGGACTGGTGCAGCCTGGTCAGTAAGAGGAAGGTGCCTGTAAGACAGTCTGCCTACCCGTTCTCGTCTATGGCCTTGCCGATGGAGATCAAGGCCTTGGGCTGGGATACCTCGAGATAGACCTGCTGCCTCTGAGGCGGGTAGAGAGGATCGAGAACTGTTATGGTAGCTCCAGAAGCCTGAACAGGTGGGTCAGTTGGTCAGTTGTACTCGATGCTGGGGGCGGACGTGGCAGGTCGCACCAGAGTTCCCATAAAGGCACACACCAGCTCGACGGAGCGGTGGGCAAAGATCATGACGACATCGCCATTGGTGATGCCCGCCTCGTGGAGGTAGTTGGCAATGGTGTTGGCGCCCTCGTCGATCTGGCGGTAGGTGAAGGTCCTGGTGGGCGACCTTGTGGCTAGCTGTCAGCAGCTTTCCACTGATGACAGCCTGCTCCAGTCTGTCTATATCTGATCTGGAACTATGAAAAAGGACATGCGACCTACGTAGAACTCTTGGTCTCGGTCACGCAGGGCCTGTCGGGATAGGCCAGCGCGTTCCTGTGGAACGTCTCGTGGATGGCTCCAACATATCCGCTCCAGTCAAGGTCGGCCGTGGGGTCCGGTAGCTCAACCATCGCGTCGGTTGAGATAATATGTGAGACGATTCGATATTCGGAAATGCCAGTCAATCGGGCCAGTTACTCACAAAATAAATTTCACTCCGACTTTCGGGCACCTGCCGTCATGGCCGGGACCCCACCTATCCCCCACCGAACATGCCCCTCATTACTGCCAGACCAAACCGCCTTAGGAACATGGCATCGTAAGGTTTGATCAGGTCGGGTGACGCAAAACGCACATTTTTATATTTTAAAAACCCTTTCTTACTTTAAAACTCCGTGTTGGATTTGAAGAATTAGATTATAAGGTTAATTAAAGCTAATTTTATCACGTGATTTATTTATAAGTAAAAACCCGAATCTTATATTATATATAATTTATAAATTTGTGAGAATTTGTATGCGGAAGTATTGGTGGTACGTTCGTTCGTTGTTTTTTGGAACTATCTATCGCAGACAGATTTTCACTTAAGTATAGTTACAACGCGTCCAGCTAGCGTAGCGCTAGAGCTGTACGGCAACGGTCACTAATCGACCGTTCCCAGAGCGCTAGGACCACACCAAATCCACCTGGTCCGCGCACAGACCACCTGCACCACTCCATCTAATAAAATTTAATTAACTGATTTATAATTTTAACATATAAAGATTTCTTATCATTTTTAATATTACTTGACTTTTTAATTTGTTTAACTATACTTTTAATACAGTTTAATTACTTGTTAACAAATGTGATATTTATAAGATATTTGGAACTTAATAGGTTTTTATAATATTAAGTATTGATATAATATATGTATAATATTTTATCAAATATAATAGTTTTAAAACTATAATAGTCATGTAGTTTATATGTTAAAGCGGACATACAGGATACGTATAGTAGTTTATTATAACTTAATGTTGTTTATAATAATGATATTAAGCTTTAATATTTAAATTTAAACATAATTTACTCGCTTAAACTTTGAACTTTAATTCGAAAGAGTTCAAGAATTCTGTTTAATTTAAATTAAATTAAATTAATTATATTGTTTTAAGCCATTGCAAATCTAAACATAATAAGTCCTTTAATTATAAAATGCTTATCATATATACGATAGTTAAATAATTAAGCGGTTAATGTTTCACGTAGAAATAAGGTTAAAATGGAGCTTATTAAATTAAAACGTAAAAATAACGCGCTTTATGAAGTGTTTCTTTGATAAGAGATGTTATAACGTATTAACGCGTATTAACGAGATTATTTATAAAGTTAACGGCGTTTTTAAAATCAATCATATTATTAAGATCGTAAATAACGACGAAATTAACGACAAATGGGTTAAATAAGATATTTTAAAGTTTATAATATTTGGTTAAAAATGCTTTAAATAATCACTGTTTAAAGAGTAATACTTTTACGACTTTGAAAGTTATTGAATATAGTATTTAACTTTTTATTTTTAAAAAGATGTAACGTTAAGGTTTTTATAAAACTTACGCGTATTTATTAAAATAAAATAATTATAATTATTTAACGCGTAATTAATAGAAGACTTACGCTTTTAGTGAAATGCTTATATTACGATAACGAACTAATTATTCGCTTTAAATCGACGTATAGCGCTAAAAGCAAGAAATACAATATTATCCTAATAAAGGCTATTTTATTCGATATGAAACTAATCTAATTTTTTTAAGGACACGTAATAACGATGTAAATAACGAGATAAAATAACTATAACAACGAATATTAAACATTTACTAATGCTTTTTAAGAAAAACCCGTTCGTCTTTCTTTATTTACTATTTAATGAAAACAACGACCTACGCTTTTTAAACCGACTTTATTAATAAAATTTAAAACCGTATCAATAACGATAATGAAAAAAAGTTCAAAAAGACACCTTATACGCGGTACGCGGTTAACACGGCTATAAAGCTAATAATGAATTAAATATCAGCATTATATAAAAAACGGTTATTTTGAACGTGATTGATTTCAACTTTTATAAAGCGATAATAAAACCAAGATTAATATTAGATATTTGTGTTTTAAAGTAAACATTAATTATAAGATACGAAATAACCCTTTTTAAAAAAGTTTAAAAAAGATCGTTAATTTACGGTTTCAAAAGCGTAACTCGAGGTTTGAAAGCGATAAAAAATAATAAGCCATACGCGGCTTTAATTTAACCCGTTAATAATAGCGCGAAAGTATTAACGGAAGTTGTTTAAAGAGTTATACGCCATCGTAAGATGTTTTTAATATTTAAAGCTATTTTCTTAGCTAACAACTTAATTTATAACGGTTAAAAACGGCTAATAACGTATGTGATATTGAATCAATTAAAACCAATTTAATGTTTTTTTAATTCGTATTATGAATGAATGTTTAAGAAATATTATTTTTAAGATTTGTAATATAACGCTTGAGTAATTTGAATAAATCTTAATCCTTTCAAGCTATTTTTATAATTAATAAGTTAAGGGTTTATAACTAACTTAATTGATTATATAGATTATTTCCTCACATAGTTTTATTGGAACAACTTAAACGTATAGTTATACCATTTTCATTTTTCTAATAATTATCTAGATTAGTCGTCATATAATTGCATATATCATTAATCTTCACTACGATTAAACGTTACTTTCGAATAAGTAAGATCATCTAAATAAAAAGAAATTATATAATCATTGATTACTTAAAAGCTTCGGTTTTTATATTACGGTACATAGGGATAAACGTCTTTAAGTATTCAATTTTAGGCTTAAGTTCTTATTAATAATTTGTTATTTGTAAATTAATAATGTTATAAGAAAATTCAAATACCGCGTATAAGTAAAAACGGTACACTCAGTAATATTTCAATATTCAAGCGAAGAATTTAATTTATTTATAACGATTATCTATATTAATTTCTAAAGTTTTGAGGTCCTAGCATTTTTTAATAATAAGACTTTAAACAAAAAAGTTGATGCCTTTCTATAACCTTTTTCTTTCGATCCAACTTGCGGAAATTTTATTAAAATTCATGATTTTAGCAAATACTATATATGTCAAACTTTTGTCAATGGATATATTATATAGTTATATATTAGTTATATTTGAAAAACTCCTTTAAAAAGATTATACGTATAATTATACGTTATGAGGAGACTAATATTAATGCTATGAAGAAAAGAATAAATTTATAAATCGAAATATTGATTTACATTTACTTGTTTTTACGTCTCTCCAACTAATAAACTTGATTACTTGCTTAGCGGTATTAATCCTAGCAGTTTACTGACGATTGTTTTTATACGTTATTAATAAAGCGTTATTAAGCGTGATTATTATACGTAATAACGAGGGTTTAACGAAGTTTCTTTGTTATTAACGACTTTTATAATCATAATGAAAGGCTTTTTAAAATTATCGGTAACTAATAAAACCTTAAACTTTTCGCTAATTTTTAAATTCGTATAATAAGCCTTACATTAAGCCGCACCTTAGATTTATTTCTAAAAGAAATATAAAGTACCAGCTTCATAATAACCTTCTTTAATAATATTCAATGTAGTTTTATAAGTTATTATAATTTTGAGCGGATAAAATTTTAAAACATTTCGCATTTTAAAATAAATCTAGTCATGATTTTCAAGTATAAAACTTTAAAACTTTTAATAACGAGTTAGTATCGTTTTTGTGAGGGGTAATTTGAAAACTTTTTAAATTAAATATATAAAGTTAGGTGTAAAAAGTTAGCCTTCTCAATTTTATATTCTTTATAAATCTCATTAAATTTAAAGTGAGATATAATCGTAATAAGATTTTGAATACCGAGGGTATTATATATTTTAAGCGGAAAATAGATAAATAAAATATAAAGTGATATCCGCGGTATAAGGCAAAATGGTTCGAAAAATTTCGTAATTCTAATCATAATAAAAAGCGGAACAACATTTGTTATATATTAATATTAACAAAATAAAGTTGAGAACCGGTTTTAATAACTTGTTAAAGTTAACGTAAAAGTTTTTTCTTTAGTTTATTAGTTGAATAGTTTAATAGTTTACTAATTTATTAATTTAATAGTTTAATAGTTTACTAGTTTGTTAGTTTAATAGTTTAATAATTTAATAGTTTAATAATTTAATAATTTAATAGTTGAATAGTTAATTAATTTAATAGTTGAATAATTTAATAATTTAATAATTTAATAATTTAATAATTTAATAATTTAATAATTTAATAATTTAATAACTTAATAATTTAATAATTTAATAATTTAATAATTGAATAGTTTAATAATTGAATAATTAAATAGTTTAATAATTGAATAATTGAATAATTTAATAGTTTAATAATTGAATAATTTAATAATTTAATAATCGAATAGTTTAATAATTTAATAATTAAATAATTGAATAGTCTAATAATTTAATAATTTAATAATTTAATAATTTAATAATTTAATAATTTAATAATTTAATAATTTAATAATTTAATAATTTAATAATTTAATAATTTAATAATTTAATAATTTAATAATTTAATAATTTAATAATTTAATAATTTAATAATTGAATAGTTTAATAATTTAATAATTTAATAGTTTAATAATTGAATAGTTTAATAGTTTAATAATTGAATAGTTTAATAATTTAATAATTGAATAGTTTAATATTTTAATAGTTGAATAGTTTAATAATTTAATAGTTGAATAATTGAATAGTTGAATAATTGAATAGTTGAATAGTTGAATAATTGAATAATTGAATAGTTTAATAGTTTAATAGTTTAATAGTTGAATAATTGAATAGTTGAATAGTTGAATAGTTGAATAGTTGAATAATTTAATAATTTAATAGTTTAATAGTTTGATAATTGAATAGTTGAATAGTTTAATAGTTTAATAGTTAAATAGTTTGATAATTGAATAGTTGAACAATTGAATAGTTGAATAGTTTAATAATTGAATAGTTTAATAGTTTAATAATTTAATAATTTAATAATTTAATAGTTTAATAATTTAATAATTTAA